TAGAGTAACAGCAGAGGAGGCGGCAGGTGGTGTTCTCAGATCCTCATTAATTAGGAATAATATTAAAAATCAAAAGCAGAAACAATATATTTTCCTTTTAGGAAACCGAAGTGTTCTATCCTTGGATTATTAGATGCAGTTCTGGCTACCACACCATAAAAGGAAATAATACAGTTGGAGAAAGCCCAAGGAAGGGTATCTATGATGGCCATAGGATGAAGAGATTTCTTTGTGGAGAGAGACCCAAACTAAAAAAAAAAAACTTTTCAGATGCAAAGGGACATGGCAGCAGTCTTTGGTGTTAGGGAATATAGATAAAGTCTGTATAGACCAAATCCTAGAACACACATTTGGCACCACCCCCATTGACACTTTTAAAAGGTAAATTTAAGACAAATACTGGTGAAAGGAAACTTTGACCCAGCAAAGTGAGCAGATAAAAATGAGTGGATGGTGATTTCTCTAAGGGAAGACCCTAATAAGAAAAGCCAAGGCTGTCTGCAGGTACATTCTTATACCCTAAAGTGTGACATTCCCAGGCGTCACAGCAGCTCAAAATCCTACTTAAGGAGAGGCCACCACCCTACCCCAGTACCACATTGTTGAGGGTGATAGGGTACTTCTTGCTGAGATCTCAATTTCCTTTCCTTCAGCCTCTGGTGGGAACAAAAACTTTCTTCCTTCTGATGCCTCAGAGACAATGATTAAGTTAATCGTTTCTCAAGATTGAGTGGTCCTAGTCCATTTATTTCTACTCTGGACCTTAGTTGTGAGCTATTTCCTCATTTTTGTGTCGTACCTTGGCTGCTGTCCCACTTCTGTGTCCCTTGAAAGTTGTGGAACCAGAACTTCATACAGAGTATGATTTTGGCTAGAGTTTTTGGGAAACAGTGTTTGCTCAGCAAACTGCTCTGTCAGCTGTCAAGAAAGACTCTTTCATTCACTTATGAACACGTGTGAATACATCCTTTTGACCCACGGACATACTCATGATCACAGGCATGATGAGAGGACTTATCTAGAGGGTGGTGAGGCCTCAGGCAATCTATAGGCCATAGCTTCTCCAATATTTTCATCCAGAAATAACAACTTTTAAGTTGGCAGAAAGGCTTCAGGGAGAAATATATTGCAAAAAGGCTACTAGGACTTTGGATGGGATAGGAGCGCATGGAAGCCAGGGAAGCTCCAGGAGGCCACAGAAGATAGAAGGGAAAGGAGAAATTCCTTCCACTTGTTTTTGAGGTTGTCACTGTCCAGACTCCTAGAAGAAGGAAATGAGACTCCTCAGTTCGGTGCTTGGGGTCATTACACCTGTGCACCCTGACTATCTGAGATCCATGTCTCAGTTAATTTACAAAGTCTGTTTTGCTAAAGTTGAGGATGCATGCCTGTGACACAGCCTCAGGGGGTCCTGATGACATGTTCCCAAGATGGTCAGAGCACAGTTTGGTTTTATACATTTTAGGGAGACAGGAGACATCAAGCAACATATGTAAGATGAACGTTGGTTTGATCCAGAAATGTGGGACAACTGTAAGCCGGGAGGGGGCTTCCAGGTCATAGGTGGATAAGAGACTAAGAGACAAATCGTTGCATTCTTTTGCGTTCCTGATTCGTCTTTTCGAAGGAGGCACTCAGATACGCATTTATCTCAGGGAGCAGAGGGGTGACTTTGAATAGAATGAGAGGCAGGTTTGCCATAAGCAGTTCCCAGCTTGACTTTTTCCATTAGCTTAGTGATTTAGGGGCCCCAAGATTTATTTTCCTTTTACACATCAATTAACTCCAGGGTGGCTCTGCATAGGTAATCCTCACAGCACATTACTACACACTGGGTTTCAAGAAAGCGGGTAGATGTTCCCCAGCTATTTGATCATCACTCCAGGGCCTTTAATCAAGCTCATGCCTTTTTTCAGGGCCACCTCTTGTTATACATACCAAAGCCTATTTGCCTAAAAAGGGAAATTTGAAAGTTTGCTTTTCTAAATCAAGCCATGCCTTGGACCTAGTAGTTGATAGGCAGGATATCCCATTTAAATAATCACAGAAATTAAGAATTACAAGAAACCTTATGGATCATGTGGCCAAATGGACTTTGGTCTGATGCACAGAGCCGATAAGGATTCCTAGTCGCTCCTTGGGTTATTGACGGGGACAGGACTCATCCCCAGCACCTCTTCTACCAAAGCACGTGAGATGGAACCATATTTCATTTCTTTCCATTGTTATTTAAGATTTTGTGGCAAGAAAGTATCATTAATTTTTAAAAGTCTGAAAATAGTTTATGTTGTTCATTTTGCCTGCCCCAAATTAAGATTTTCATTCAACAGCAAGCATATGATATTCAGATATTCACACAATTTAGCTTTGATCATTAGAGCTGTCTCTTCTGCTCTTTTTTTGTTTTGTTTTTGTTTTTGTTTTTTTGTTTGTTTTGAGATGGAGTCTTGCTCTGTTGCCCAGTCTGGAGTGCGGTGGTGCTATCATGGCTCACTACAAGCTCCACTTCCCAGGTTCAAGTGATTTTCCTGCCTCAGCCTCCCAAGTAGCTGGGATTACAGGTGTGTGCTATCCCACCTAGCCAGTTTCTTTTACTTTTAAGGTTTTATGATTCTAACATTTCTGGCAAGTAGTGGATCATAGAATGTCAGAGCTTGGGTCAGGTGTGTTGGCTCATGCCTGTAATCCCAGCACTTTGGGAGGCCAACACGGGTGGATTGCCAGAGCTCAGGAGTTCAAGACCAGATACCTGGGCAACATGGTGAAACCCTGTTTCTTCAATAAATAAATAAATAAATAAACTAGCAGGCCATAGTGGCAAATGCCTATGGTCCCAGCTACTTGGAAGGCTGAGGTAGGAGGATAGCTAGATCCTGAGAGGCAGAGACTGCAATGAGCCAAGATTGCGCCACTGCACTCCAGTCTGGGTGACACAGTGAGATCTTGTCTAAAAAAAAAAAAAAAAAAAAAAAGGTCAGAGCTAAGAAGGCACCTAGAGATCTAGAGATCTTCGGGTCCTGCTTCTTTGTTATACAGAAGAGGAAGCTGAGGCCCAGCAAAGTGAAAAAATAGCTAATTGGTCTTTCCTTGACCGTTTCCAAAGATGAGGAGCTCAGTACTTGGCAAATCACTTGTTCCAAAAATGGATCTAATATATTTAGTAAATAAAATTTGCTTTGATCTTCACCACCAACCTTTTAGTTTAACTGTCTCTTGGTTTGGTCTTGTCCTCTAAGCACAAGGAGAGAAATAAGGAATGAAAAGGCACAGCTCAGTTTCCTCAACACTGAATGGGAGCAGCAGCAGGGTGAGAAATAAGGGTGAGAAAGAAAGAGGGAGCTTCAGAGGGAATTACAGTCAAAGGAAGCGGCAGGAGGTGCAGAGGGACTGAGCATCTGGCATGTACGTGCCTATTCAGCTAAACTCAGCCCTCCTCCCAACTGGCATGCTATCCAGAAGACCCTCCTTCAGGTGGTTGGATTGCTCTACAAGGCCAAGTGACACCAAATATCAGCATCTATTCAGGTCTCAAAGCTCCTAAGAGGTCTCTGAAATGTGAGATGTGTCTCTGGATATAGCATCCATTGCACAAGTGGTAAAATCCCAGATTTACAGGGCTGGAACAAACCAGTGAGACCATCTAGCCTACTACTTCTGTTATGTATAGGGAATCTGAGTTCCAAAGAGATGGGACCCTCCTAAGTCATGTACCAATAATAAAGCCCAAAACTCTGCTCAGTCTGCTGTATGACAATGACTAAAATGTATACTGTACTTTCCAATCCTGTGAACTTGATAAGGCAGTTGCTGTTATTTTTTTTATTTTTTATTTTTTTGAGATGAAGTCTCCCTTTGTCACACAGGCTGGAATGCAGTGGCACTATCTCAGCTCACTGCAATCTCTGCCTCCCTGGTTCAAGCGATTCTCGTGCCTCAGCCTCCAGAGTAGCTAGGACTACAGACGCATGCCACAATGCCCAGCTAATTTTTTGTATTTTTAGTTGACACGTGGTTTCGCCATGTTGGCCAGCCTTGTCTGGAACTCCTGACCTCAGGCAATCCATCCGTCTTGGCCTCTAAAAGTGCTACGATTACAAGCGTGAGCTACCACGCCCAGGCTTGTTATTATTATTATCCTTATTTTACAAACAAGAAGAATGAGCCTTAAAACGATTATGTACTCAAATCCACAAAGCAAGTAAGAGCAGGAGCCCAATGTGACAAAGGCTTTTCTGATTCTAAGCTCTTTGTCTACCCTTCCCAAATCCCTCTTCTAGGGGTACAGATTGGGCTGGAGTTCAGGTAAATTCCCAAAACCGCCTTCCTACTTGCAGAACTGTTCTTCACTGAGTGGCCTAGTAAGATGCTACATGCATCTACAGAAAAGATGGGGGAGGCTCTTGGTATAACTAGAAAGTGGTCAAGTTGTCTTCGGGCCCCTAAGCTTTCCCTTTACTGGCACTGTCTCATGACCTGCTCCTTTCTTTGTGAACCTGTGTTCCCATGCTTTCTCCATCTCACCCTCCCAATCCCCAATCGAGAAGATCTGACAAATTCACCCAGAGATCTAATGACTGTAAGCTTCAGATGAGGTAGGGATTTTCATCAGTTTTGCTCATTGATATATCCAAAAGACATAGAAAAGTGTCTGGCACATAGGAGATATTCAATAAATATTTTTATCAATGGATGGCCTAGGGTGTGGGTGAGCTAGAATCTTCCACAAGAGGAAGGCAATGGACAAAGTGCCAGAGAGGCAGAGGGCCAGGTGGAAGAAGGATTGAGGGCTATGGGATGACTGTGAGGGAGGACACAGGGGCAGAGGTGCACAGAGCTACCATGGAGGAAGAGATAGCACCACGAGGTAAGCAGCCAGGATTGGCAGGAAGTCAAGAGCCAGAGAGGTGAGGCTTTGGGAGATCAGAGGGCTTAAAGCTGGGGGTGGGCTAAGGAGCCCAGGGCCTGATGCTGCCCTCTTCCTCATGGGTCTCTGTTCACAGACCCCCTGGAGGGGGTGAACATTACCAGCCCCGTGCGCCTCATCCATGGCACCGTGGGGAAGTCGGCTCTGCTTTCTGTGCAGTACAGCAGTACCAGCAGCGACAAGCCTGTAGTGAAGTGGCAGCTGAAGCGTGACAAGCCAGTGACCGTGGTGCAGTCCATTGGCACGGAGATCATCGGTACCCTGCGGCCTGACTATCGAGACCGTATTCGGCTCTTTGAAAATGGCTCCCTGCTTCTCAGCGACCTGCAGCTGGCCGATGAAGGCACCTATGAGGTCGAGATCTCCATCACTGATGACACCTTCACTGGAGAGAAGACCATCAACCTTACTGTAGATGGTAAAGTGCTCTGGCAGGGAAAGAGGCAAGACTGGCAGGTGGGACTGGGGAAGGGTCTGCCCAGCGCACCAACTAGACCAAGGGAAAATCAACCCAAAAGGCACTTAGGAGCTGAGACTGAGGCAAGTGGACACTAGAAGTTGGCAGACAGGCACAGCACAGCTAATCATGTACTGTGATTGCCACGTGCCAGAAACTATTTTAAGTGCTTTGCATGTGTTGACTCATTAAATCAGGGGATAGTTAATATCATTATCCCCATTTTGCAGATGAGGAAAGTGAGCCACTGAAAGGTTGAATAACTTGCCCAAGGTCACACAGATAGAAGTGATAGAGCCAAGATTTTAACCTAAACACTTGGACCTATGCTTAGCCCAACTAAAATATCTTCCTGGCTAGGTCAGTTTAAGACATTAAAGCCCAGTGGTCTTGGGAAGGCATTTGGAAAGAGGCAACGAGGGCAACACCATGTGTCCCTTGTTCAGAATTCACCCACTGTACCTAGTTAGTGCTCCATAAATAGTTGGTGAAACGAATGAATAAATGATGAGAAAGGACTGGATTTAGGATGCCTGAAGTCTTCTCAGCCCACAGATTGAGTTGGAAGGCAGTGTTAAAGGTGTGTTGGAAGGCAGAGAGCTAAAAAGGGGAAGGGGAACATTTCTTAGCCAATGACTCACAGGCTCCCCCATTCCTGCGGCTCAGTGCCTATTTCAAGGCCGCAGGTGTTGGTGGCTTCGACCACTGTGCTGGAGCTCAGTGAGGCCTTCACCTTGAACTGCTCACACGAGAATGGCACCAAGCCCAGCTACACCTGGCTGAAGGACGGCAAGCCCCTCCTCAATGACTCGAGAATGCTCCTGTCCCCTGACCAAAAGGTGCTCACCATCACGCGCGTGCTCATGGAGGACGACGATCTGTACAGCTGCGTGGTGGAGAATCCCATCAGCCAGGGCCGCAGCCTGCCCATCAAGATCACCGTATACAGTGAGTTCCCTACAGGCTTTCCTTCAGTACTTAAAGCCCAAGAGGCAGGTGACCATGAGAGACTGAGGACATCCCAAAGAGTGTCACTGGGGGAAAGGGGACAGAGATGGACAAACTGTCCATGGAGGATACCAAGAGGTAGGCAGTGGCTTCTGTGCAAGCTCCACCACCAGCATCAGCCAGGCATGTGGTCTGGGGCTCCCCTTCTCCTCCTTCCTTGGCAGGAAGCTCTGCTCACCACACCTTGCACCTTTGAAGTTTCTCCTGCCTCTCTGCTTCTCTCTCTCCCTAGGAAGAAGCTCCCTTTACATCATCTTGTCTACTGGAGGCATCTTCCTCCTTGTGACCTTGGTGACAGTCTGTGCCTGCTGGAAACCCTCCAAAAGGTCTGGGTAACTCTCCTGAGCACCCGAGTCCTTCAATCCATCCCAAACCTAAACCCTATCTTAAGTCTCTTTACATGCCTTTCCTCCCAGGGCTCTGCGTCTCTTCCCCAGAGATCCAGTCTACCATTGTGTGTGCAACAGCATCCTGTACTCCAAGCCCCACAACCCTAGCCCCAGTAACCATAGTTTTTCACTTGCCAAGCACCTTTTTTGGGGCCAGGTACTGTGGCTGTGGCTAGCCTGCTACCTTTTGATTATCTGCAGCTTACAGATAATGACACTGAGACTCAGATTGGTTAAATGACTTGCCCACAGTCACAATGCTAGTGACAGACTTAAGGTGCAAACCTAGATGTGGCTCATTCCAAAGCTCATGGACTGTACCCAGCCCATCTTCCTGTCACAAGGCCTCTTTTACGGCCATCAGATTCTTCCCTGTGTCCCCATTAGATCTCCTTCTCACATTCAGTAGTTTGGCTCATGGTGGGGCTGGATTGATTCACAGGAAACAGAAGAAGCTAGAGAAGCAAAACTCCCTGGAATACATGGATCAGAATGATGACCGCCTGAAACCAGAAGGTGAGCTCCCAGCCACCCACTCATCCATCCCATCAACACTGAATGTCAGTGGGCTGCTGGGAAAAGACAGAACTGGGCAACAAGGAAAACAGCTCTGCAGGGCCCCTTCACCAACTGCACAAAGACTGCAGAGGAGGGAGAGGTTTGGCCAAGGTAGGAGACAGGATATTCAGATATGTTGGTGGAGGTTGTGGCGGGCCAGTTAGGGAACACAGAGAGTAGGTGCCAGCTGGTGTGGAGAGTCTGTACCTGAACCAGCCACCCCATTCCCTCCCATGTGCAGCAGACACCCTCCCTCGAAGTGGTGAGCAGGAACGGAAGAACCCCATGGCACTCTATATCCTGAAGGACAAGGTGAGCAGCTCTGGGCTGGGTGCCCAGAAGCATACAGTGAGCCTCTCCCACATGCCTGGTGCTAGAGAGCCATACCATAATCCTATCCCTTTATAACAGCAGTCCCCAACCTTTTTGCCATCAGGGACCAGTTTTATGGAAGAAAATTTTTCCATGGATGGTGGTGGGGTGGTTTCGGGATGAAACTGTTCCACCTAAGATTATCAGGCATTGGATTCTCGTAAGGAGCATGCAACCTAGATCCTTGGCATGTGCAGTTTACAATAGGGTTCATGCTCCTATGAGAATCGAGTGCAGCCACTAATTCGACAGGAGATGGAGCTCAGGCGATAATGCAAGCGATGGGGAGCGGCCTTAAATACATAGGAAGTTTTGCTTTCTGGCCTACTGCTCACCTGCTGCTCTGCCGTTATGTTCCTAACAGACTATGGTCCAGTACCAGTCCTTGGCCTGTGGGCTGGGGAACCCCTGCTTTATAGTACTCAGAGTAACCCTGTGAAATATATGTGTCATGACCATTTTAGAGATTAGAAAAACAAGGCTGTGAGATTAAATGACTTGCTCAGGATTAAACAAGTGAATGAGTGGCAGATCTAAGTTTCAAACCTAGGTCTTTGGACACCAGTTCTGGTGATTTCCACCCTATTCCACAACTGACTCTGTCCCAGGCTGTCCATGACCAGTGGAAAGAGGAGAGTAAAGAGGAAAAGCACTCAAAAATCGCATTTCAACATTTACTTAACACCTATTATGTGCCAGGAGGCCCCACGCTCAGTGTGGTATATTGCCAGAAAAACCAGACCTCTATCTGCCCCTTCCAGGAGGGGGGCGTGCAGAGGGAACCGGGTGCCTCCCCTCGGAATTCCAGCGAGCTCCGACACCAGGCGCGCTCCCAGGCTGGGCGGACTGTCCCCTGACCCCTGCGGGGCGTGTCCTTGCAGGACTCCCCGGAGCCCGAGGAGAACCCGGCCCCGGAGCCTCGAAGTGCGACAGAGCCCGGCCCGCCCGGCTACTCCGTGTCTCCCGCCGTGCCCGGCCGCTCGCCGGGGCTGCCCATCCGCTCAGCCCGCCGCTACCCACGCTCGCCAGCGCGCTCCCCCGCCACCGGCCGGACGCACACGTCGCCCCCTAGGGCCCCGAGCTCGCCCGGCCGCTCGCGCAGCGCCTCGCGCACACTGCGGACTGCGGGCGTGCACATAATCCGGGAGCAAGATGAGGCCGGCCCGGTGGAGATCAGCGCCTGAGCCTCCTGGGGACCCCCTGCGAGGCGCCTGCGGTCTGCGGCCGGCGGCCTTGGGGAGGGCTGGGAAGCCGGGGCCGGTGCGCTAGGGGCGAGGGGAGGTCCCCGCGGGGCGCTGGTGTCTCGGGTGTGGACGTGTGTGAGCATGCGCAGACGGAGGCGAGTGCGCGGAGGCGGCAGTGAGGTGGGGAAACCGGGTCGCTTTTGCTTCCGGTTTACTGGCTGTGTTCTCAGTTGGTATAGGTTGTGCCCTCTTAGAACCACATAGATTATTAAATTTCTGGCCCAATACCCGACAGGGTTTTATGGAAACTAACATCAATAACCTAACCCCCGTGACGATCCTGTGCTCTTCCCAGGGAGCCATGAGGTTTCCCACTCACCACCCTTCCCTCTGAACAAATGCCTGAGTTCTGGGGCACTTCTTTTTTGGGAAGTTCAGATTAGAGAGGCCACTTTCCCGAAATTCACAGCTGTACTAAGCTAAGGAGAAGCCAGATGCCGGTAACTGGGTGTGCAGGGGCTGTTCCGAGCTGGGGGGGGGGGGTCATTGTGAAGGCCTTTTTCCCTGGGCACCTGGTTACCTGGGGACCTGCAAGTTGGTGAGGGAAGGGTACAAGCACACTTCTCTTTTGTGTTTGTTTGTTTTGAGACAGAGCCTCGCTCTGTCGCCTAGGTTGGAGTGCAGTGGTGCCATCCTTGCTTACTGCAAACTCCGCCTCCTGGGTTCAAGCAATTCTCCTGCCTCAGTCTCCCAGGCAGCTGGGACTACAGGCGCCGGCCACCACACCCGGCTAAGTTTTTGTATTTTTAGTAGAGACAGTATTTCACCACTTTGACCAGGATGGTCTTGATCTCCTGACCTCGTTATCCGCCAGCCTCAGCCTCCCAAAGTGCTGGGATTACAGGCGTGAGCCACTGCACCCGACTCATTTCTTTTCCCTCTGACCTGGGCCCTAGCAAGAGCAAAGAACTCAAGCCTGCCAGCTTGGCCTCCTCCTAGAGCCTCCCTCAGAGGCATGCCATGCCAAGCATTCTTTCTGTCTCTGTTCCTGAATAAAAGAGACGAATGGGCTTATTCGTTTACAGAAGTGAAGTCCACTTACTCCCCTGGCCCAGAAATCCAGACCAAGTGAGGAATTGTTTTAGCTCATCAAACTCATATCTTCATCCTGGCTTCCTTACAAAATAAGCCTTTCAAACAATCATTGTCCTCAGGAAGGTTGTTGAGCTTCCTCCAGCTGTGAGAATAAGTCCTAATCTCCAGAGAAATGGTTGGGGGAGGAGGAGGCTTATTGCTTCCCAGCATTTCGGGGAAACATGATCCAACCCCTGGCCTCCTGCCACCCATCTGCCCTGCTCCCACATGCTCAGATCGCAGGGAACAGAACAAGGGCAGACTCCCTAATCACACTAACATCGGAATAAAGAGGCCGGGCCACTGTGTAGCCAGGCTGTGCCCATGCCACCACCTATTGAACAGTTCATAGGAGGAGCAATAATCCACTGTGTGAGGAGAGAGGGCAATTAAAAAGCTGAAAGAGAAGGAGGCCCTCTGTGTATTCCGTCCTCTCCTCCTGAATGCCTCCAAGGGTCCTTGCATCCCTGGCCCCTCCACAACCTCCTAAACTCCAGAGCTGATTCTCCACCATCCCATGGAGCAATTCCCAGACCCCCATTACTCGTCACCTCCACACCAGGGCACGTTTTGTCTCAGCCCCAAAGGCACTGACATTTCTAGTTTGCCCCCTCTGCCCTGACCCCAACAGCATGCCTCTCTCAGCTCCCTGTCCCTAGGCACATCCCCAGGCTCATTTGAGCAGGTGTGCCTTTGCAGCTCCCCTAAACTTCCCAGGTGCCTCATCCATAATGAGATAGTGCATGTAGGGGAAAGTTTCTCAGGAAAGTGGAAGAGGCAGGACTTGGAGGAGTACCTGCTGGTCAACCTTGAGATGCACAGGTGAAGGTTAGCGTGAGATGAGAGCATGCCATTCCCTGGTGCTGAATCCCTGAGGGGCCAGCTTCCCAGGCTTAAGCCAAATCTGCCTTAAAGTGGGGGTGGGGAGGGGTAAGTACAGAAGTGGGGTTTTTTGTTTGTTCATTTTTGTGCTGTTTTGATCTTCATCTTTGTATTCCTGGCATCTAGCAGAGTGCCTAGCACATACTGGATGCTCAATAAACTTTTGATGAAATGAAATGATAACTTTATTCCACATAAGGAAGGGTAACAAAACAAGCTGCTTAAATATACCCGTCATTTCCCTTTTTTCTTCTCCTCTTCTTTCACCACATTTTACCCTCTTTCCAAACCCCAGATTACCCATTCCAAAATCACTTATTCATTCATTTATTTATTCAGGTGTTCTTTTGTTTATTCAAAAAACGTGTTTATCTACCATCGACTAGGCCCTGTGCTAGACACTGAGGATACAGCATAACTATGTCAGGAAGACAGATCAGTAAACGGATGATCACAATATAGTGTATCAAATGCAATGGCAGAGGTAGATACAAGGTGCTCTGGGAGCATGTAGATTAGGTGTTGTCAGCAAAGGCATCTTGGAGGAGAAGAGACCTGAGTTGAGTCTTTCTTAGACTCGTTAGTTACTCTGGTTTTTGAAAGTTTGAAAGGACATGGTCCAAACAGAGGGAGAAGCATGTATAAAAGCTTGGAAGTGCAAGACCCAATGGAGGAATTCAGGGTACTGAGCCATAGCAGTTGATGAAATTATTTCAGGAAAGTATACAAAGTAGAAAGTGAAGAAAGCAAGAAAGCCGCAGATAGACTTCTGAGGCCATCACTATGTATTTCTACATTAAAAGGACCTCACCAAAAAGGCTAAAAATGCACAGCAAGTAAGATAGGAGAATATTTAGGAGATAACTATATCACACAATTGAAAGAATCAGAGGGTTTCAAGAAAAAGGGAGCATTTGGGACTGCAGGGGCTCACATATGGAAAGAAGTTAAAAGGGCATGTTAAATTTGGCAACAACAAAAACATTGAGTGACTTGGCATAAGCAGTTTCAGACATGCAGTGAGCCAGATTGCAACAGGTGAAAAGCGATACGTAGAACTTCCCTGCTAAGTGCTTCAAACTAGATGTTTGAGACGTCTCCTGTTTCAAAACAACCGGGTCCTGCTTAAATTATATTTGTTTTGCATCGCTGGTTTCAAGAGATGGGGGAGGTTTTTTTTGTTTTTTTGTTTTTTGTTTTTTTTAAGATGGAGACACTCTTGTCGCCCAAGCTGGAGTGCAATGATGCAGTCTTGGCTCACTGTAACCTCTGCCTCCCGGGTTCAAGTGATTCTCCTGCCTCAGCCTCCCAAGTAGCTGGGCCTACAGGCATGTGCCACCACACCCCGCTAAGTTTTGTATTTTTGGTAGAGACAGGGTTTCACTATGTTGGCCAGCTGGGCTTGAATTCCTGACCTCGTGATTCACCTGCCTCAGCCTCCCAAAGTGCTGGGATTACAGGCCTGAGCTGCCACGCCCAGCCAGAGATGAGGGAAATTTTTAAGCAGCCAGAAGTAAAACAAAATTTAAAGGCACAGTGAACTCAAAGTACTTAACACTCATAAAATGTGAGATTACCAAGGGAGATGAAGCAAGATGACTGAATAGAAGGCTCCACTGATTATCGTCTTCCCTGCAGGAACGCCAGATTGAACAACTATCCACATACACACAAAAAGCACCCTCATAACAACCAAAACCCCGATGAATGATCACAATACCTGGTTTTAACTTCGTATCACTGAAAGAGGCACTGAAGAAGGTAGAAAAGACGGTCTTGAATGGCTGACACCACCCTTACCTCATCACCCAGCAGCTGCCACATGGCACAGAGAGAATCTCTACACTTGCGGGAGGGAGAGTGCAGCCATTGTGAGACTTTGTGTCAGAACCCAGTGCTGCCCTGTCACAGTGGAAACAACACCAGCTTGGGTACCAGCACAGCTGCAGAACTCAGCCAGCACCCACAGAGGGAGCATTGAGATCAGCCCTTGCCAAAAAAGAATTATACATCCCAGTGGTGGGAACCTGAGTTCCAGAAAGACAACCATGGGTTAAAGTGCTCCGGGTTTCTAAATAACTTGAAAATCAGTCTAGGACACAAGGACTGCAATTCTAGGGGAACTCTCGATGCTGTGCTGGGCTTGGCTTGAAGCCAGTGGACTTGGCGGGGGGCATATGAGCTAGTGAGACAGCAGCTGGGGCAGCCAAGGGAGTGCTTGCATCATCCCTCTGCCAACACCAGGCCTCACAGCTTACAGCTTTGAAAGAGACTCTTTTCTTTTGCTCGAAGAGAGGAGCAGGAAGAGTAAACAAGACTGTGTATTGCAACTTGGATATCAGCTCAGCCATAGCAGGATAGGGCACAAGACAGAGTCCTGAGTTCCCCATTTCAGGCCCCAGCTCCCCGACAACATTTCTAGGCACCTTGGGCCAGAAGGGAACCCACTGCCTTGAAGAGCGGGACCCAGTCATCACCTGGCAGCATTCATCACCTGCTGACTATAGAGCCCTAGGTTCCTGAATAATTTGCAGTGGAACCAAGGTAATACTTGCCATTGGCCTTGGGTGAGACTAAGAGACATGCTGGCTTCAGGTGTCACCAAGTACCTTTCCAGCCGTATTGGCTATGGGAAGGGGCTCCTTCTGCTTGAGAAAAGTAGGAGGAAGGGTAAAGGGGACTTTGTCTTGCAGCTTAGGTACCAGTGTGGCCACAGTGGGGTAGAGAACCAAGTGGGCACTTGGGGTCCCTAGTTCCAGGGTTTGGCTCTTGGATGACATTTCTGGACCTGCCCTGGGCCATAGTGGAGCCCACTGACTTGAAAGGAGAGCCCTATGCCGGGCAGCCTTCACAGGCTGACTCAAGAGCCCTTGATCCTCGAATATACATCAGCAGTAGCCAGGCAGTATTCATCATGGGCCTGGGGCAGTGGTGGCCATGCGGAGAGACACCTCTGCTTGAGGAAAGGAGAGGGAAGAGTGGGAAAAACATTGCCTTGGGCTTGGGTGCTGGCGCAGCTGCACTAGAACAGAGCACCAGGAGATTCCTAAAGTTTCTCATTCCTAGGCCTTGGTTCCCAGGTGGCATCTGTGGACCTGCCCAGGACTGGTGGATACTTGGCACCCTGAAGTAAAGGATACAAGTCTGGCTGGCTTTGCCACCTGCTGACTGTAGAGCCTTAGGGCCTTGAGTGAACACAGGTGGTAGCCAGACAGTGGTTGCCACAGGCCTTTTGTGACACCCGGTGTTGTGCTGGTTTCATGTCTAACCCAGCACAGTCTCAGTGGTGGTGGCCACAGGGGTACTTGTGTTATCCTTCTTCCAACTCCAGG